ATTTAATCCTTGATTGATATCATTCCCACCAACTTGAATATAATCCTTGAATGCCATCATTTCCAGTAAATTGAGTTTAAACCTTGAATGCCAACAATCCCACTAAATTGACTTTATTGAATTTAACACTTGAATGCCATGATTCCCACTAAATTGAATTTAACCTTTGAATGCCATCATTCCTACTATATTGAGTTTAACACTTCAATGCCATCATTCCTACTAAATTGAATTTAGCCCTTGAATGCTATAATTCCCACTAAATTGAATGCCATCATTCCCAGTCAATTGAATTTAACTCTTGAATGCCATCATTCCCACTAAATTGTCTTTATATCTTGAATGATATCATCCCCACTAAATTGAATTTAAGCTTTGAATGCTTTGATTCCTTGTAAATTGAATTTAATCCTTGAATGCCATGATTTCCACTAAATTGAATTTAACCTTTGAATGCCATCATTCCTACTATATTGAGTTTAACACTTCAATGCCATCATTCCCAGTAAATTGAATTTAACTCTTGAATGCCATCATTCCCAGTAAATTGAATTTAACCCTTGAATGCCATCATTCCCACTAAATTGTCTTTATATCTTGAATGATGTCATCCCCACTAAATTGAATTTAAGCTTTGAATGCTTTGATTCCTTGTAAATTGAATTTAATCCTTGAATGCCATGATTTCCACTAAATTGAATTTAACCTTTGAATGCCATCATTCCTACTATATTGAGTTTAACACTTCAATGCCATCATTCCCAGTATATTGAGTTTAACACTTCAATGCCATCATTCCCAGTATATTGAATTTAATCCTTGAATGATATCATTCCCACCAACTTGAATATAATCCTTGAATGCCATCATTTCCAGTAAATTGAGTTTAAACCTTTAATTGCCATTATTCCCAGTTAATTGAATTTAACCCTTGAATGCCATCATTCCCAGTAAATTGAATTTAATCCTTGAATGCCATGATTTCCACTAAATTGAATTTAACCTTTGAATGCCATCATTCCTACTATATTGAGTTTAACACTTCAATGCCATCATTCCTACTAAATTGAATTTAACCCTTGAATGCCATCATTCCCAGTGAATTGAATTTAACTCTTGAATGCCATGATTTCCACTAAATTGAATTTATTCCTTGAATGCCATCATTCCCACTAAATTGAATTTATCCCTTGAATGCCATCATTCCAAGTAAATTGACTTACCCTTGAATGATATCATTTCCACTAAATTGAATTTAACCCTTTATTGCCATCATTCCCACTAAATTGAATTTAATCCTTGAATGCCATCATTCCTACTAAATTGAATTTAACCCTTGAATGCCATCATTCCCAGTGAATTGAATTTAACCCTTGAATGCCATGATTTCCACTAAATTGAATATATTCCTTGAATGCCATCATTCCCACTAAATTGAATTTATCCCTTGAATGCCATCATTCCAAGTAAATTGACTTACCCTTGAATGATATCATTTCCACTAAATTGAATTTAACCCTTTATTGCCATCATTCTCACTATATTGAAATTAACCCTTGAATGCCATCATTCCCACTATATTGAATTTAACCTTTGAATGCCATCATTCCCACTGTATTGAATTCAACCCTTGAATGCCATCATTCCCAGTAAATTGAATTTAACCCTTGATTCCCAGTAAATTAAATTTAACCCTTGAATGCAATCATTCTCAACAAATTGAATTTATCCCTTGAATGCCATCATTCCCACTAAATTGAATTTAACCCTTGAATGCCATCATTCCCACTAAATTGACTTTATTCCTTGAATGCTATCATTCCCACTAAATTGAATTTAACCCTTGAATGCCATCATTCCTACTAAATTGACTTTATCCCTTGAATGCTATCATTCCCACTAAATTGAATTTAACCCTTGAATTCCTTGATTCCCAGTGAATTAAATTTAACCCTTGAATGCCATCATTCCCACTATATTGAATTTAATCCTTGAATGCCATCATTCCCACTATATTGAATTTAATCCTTGAATGCAATCATTCCCACTAAATTGTCTTTATATCTTGAATGATATCATTCCCACCAACTTGAATTTAACCCTTGAATGCCATCATTCCCACTAAATTGAGTATAATCCTTGAATGCAATCATTCCCACTAAATTGTCTTTATATATTGAATGCCATCATTGCCACTAAATTGAATTCATCTATTGAATGCCATCATTCCCACTAAATTGACTTTATTCCTTGAATGCCGTGATTCCCACTAAATTGAAGTTAGCCCTTGAATGCCATTATTCCCACTAAATTGGATTTATTCCTTGAATGCCATCATTCCCAGTAAATTGAATTTAACCCTTGAATGCCATCATTCCAAGTAAATTGAATTCAACCCTTGAATGCAATCATTCCCACTAAATTGACTTTATTTCTTGAATGCCATCATTCCCAGTAAATTGACTTTATTCCTTGAATGCCATCATTCCCAGTAAATTGAATTTAACCCTTGAATGCCTTGATTCCCAGTAAATTGAATTTAACCCTTGAATGCCATCATTCCTACTAAATTGAATTTAACCCTTGAATGCCATCATTCCCACTCAATTGAATTTAACCCTTGAATGCCATCATTCCCACTAAATTGAGTTTAACCCTTGAATGCCATGATTCCTAGTAAATTGAATTTAACCCTTGAATGCCATCATTCCCACTCAATTGAATTTAACCCTTGAATGCCATCATTCCCACTAAATTGAGTTTAACCCTTGAATGCCATGATTCCCACTCAATTCAATTTAACCCTTGAATGCCATGATTCTCACTGTATTGAGTTTAACCCTTGAATGCCATCATTCCCACCAAATTGACTTTCCTGTGATATGGTTGGTTATTCCCATTATGTGTTTCATGGTGTATATGCCAGTTTCTTTTTAGTTCCCGTTGAAGTTCGAAAACGGGGACTTATAATTCGGTCCGTGCGTGCGTCCGGAGTCATATCTCAGAATTCCTTGGACCGATTCCGTTCATTCTTTGCATGTGCCTAGTACTTTATCTGGGACATGTGCACATGCAGTGGATTAGCGATTTGATTCAAAATGGCCGACTGGCAGCCATCTTGTTTTTTTGAAAATGTTGTATTTTGGACATGCTTTGTCAGTTTTCATTCAAATTTGGTACATAGATTATACATGTTAGGATACATGTCCATGACGATTTATTTCACAATTGGATCAAAGTTGGATGACTGGCAGCAATCTTGTTTTTTGAAAATGTTGTATTTTGGACATGCTTTGTCAGTTTTCATTCAAATTTAGTACATCGATCATACATGTTAGAATACATGTCCCCGACCATCCGTGAGTTCCTGAGTCTGTCCGTCAGTCCGTCCGTTCGTGCGTCAGTCTGTCAATAGTAATATTTCAGAATCCTGTGGATTGATTCCATTCATTCTTTGTATGTGCCTAGTACCTTATGTGGGACATGTGCACATGCAGTGGTTTAGCGATTCGATTCAAAATGGCCGATTGGCAGCCATCTTGTTTTTTGAAAATGTTGTATTTTGGACATGCTTTGTCAGTTGTCATTCAAACTTGGTACATAGATTATACCTGTTAGGCTACATGTCCAGTACAATTTATTTCGCAATTGGATCAAAGATGGTCGACTGGCAGGCATCTTGTTTTTGTTTTTTATGCAGTATCTTGGAAGTGCTCTGTCAGTTTTCATTCAAATTTGGCACATACATGTACTTTATACATGTTAGGATGCATGTCCATAACAATTTGTTTCGAAATCTGGTCAAGGATGGCCGATTGACAGCCATCTGACTTTTTGGCCTTACTACTATATTTCCACAATTTCTGTACCATTTACATTCGTATTTGGCACATACATCATACATATCAGTGTGTTTCATAATTAGATCAAAGATGGCCAAATAACGGCTGTTTTTATTTTTGTCCATATTACTACTACACGGAACACGTGTTTTGATGTAAATAAGCAATCTGTTGTATACGCCACTTGTTTTTTGTAATTTGATTCAATATGACTGCCCAATGTCCAATTCTTGTGTAAAAGCACTAAATCATATTTTTTTACAAATCCATCTCCTATTAATGGTTTCAATCTCATCTCAATGACTTCATCAGCATCAAATTGATATGTCAGATCACAAAATTTGGGACGAGGACTGTGTCATTAACAATGACTTGTGAATTTTATGACTGTATTAGTTTAATGATTACTTGATCACGTCTTGAGTGATTCTGTTTATCACTGGTAAAAAGAATAAACTTAGTATGTTAAATGGTGCTATGTAATGACTTGATAAAATGATAAAATAAATCACAAATTAAGAGTTATTAAAAGTCGTTACCAAGTGCAATAATGTTAACAGGGACTGTGTCATTTTCAATGAATTGTTTTTAATGTCTATTATCTTAACATTATTTTTGTGTTAGCTCCTTTAATGTATTCACAGTTTGGATTTTAAAATTTATTATATTGTAGGGAGAGTTTTTGTTAAGTGGTCCAAATGCACTTGGTATGTTTGTTACTTGTGAAGGCATATCACAACGGCCACCATTACAATGGTCAAGTAGCGTCATGGCAACAGGATTCACGTTCCCATATGTGTCTGCACTAGATGATGAATTTATCACAGTTCATAGGTATAGTTTAGCAAGGTTATTTGTTATTCTTCAGTAACGAAATGTATTGCATGTGATAATATTA